TTCGACATGCAACAATAAAGGAAACTACGATTTCTGTAGATCCTACCGACACACCAATAGACTGGTCGGTAAGCGATCACGGTGTATGTGTTTACTGTAGGTCCATGGCCGTTCCGCTGCTATATAAAAAGTTGCTGTATAAGAAGACAGCAAAAAGCTGGAGTAGTACGGCAGTTACGAGTTAGGAGCAGTAGTAGCAGCAGATTCACCCGAACAAGTAAGCAAGTCAGTTCTCGGTAGGAGATAACGTAAATTTCGTAGTTGAAAAAGAATTAGAAGTCGGCCTCTGAAGATTTTACGTGTGAGTAGAAGATTTAATTTTGTTTCTATATTTGGAGTGCATAATTCAATGAGACTGTTATAGTTCCTGTGTTATAAATACGTGAAAACTAGTGAAGATAATTGTGCAATAACTGTTAATAATGTAAAGCAAAAATAGCATAAGAATTGATTGTTGTTACGAGCTGTAGGTTTTAAATAAATTCAATTACTAATGCAAATCCCGAATTTAGTCACTGTGACATGTGAAAATATCACATCGTCCACTCCTGAGTCTTTTTGTCCCGAAGAGCCTAAGAGTGTATAACTTGTGTTTCTTTCCGTTGACTATGCTTTCAACGTCTTCTCGCAAGCTGTTTCTTATTTCTCTCTCTATATATATCTCTGAGTTGGCTGCTCTCTAACCGCTACCACTGCCCGTCCTCAAGGCCAGCTCAGCCCGAATGGTTTCCTTATACTGTTCCAGTTAGTCCAGGTTCTCACCATAATGCAAAGTTTCTCTTTCTCCCTTCCTGTCCCTTTTCCAGCAGTAGGGGCGTAGCTCTTGGAGCGACCGATGCTCCCCAATGTCCTATTCTTCTTACACTAACGCTGCTTCTATTTCCGCTTCGGATGGGGTCGACCACTCCACAAACTTAAATCCATAATTCTTCCTAACCCGCTGGAAGTTCTGAGTACTTTTTTCGTGATCTTCTCTCTGAAAATCTAATCTACGTGTTCCCTGATCTTCCGTTCGTTTTCCAGATGTGATCGCTGTCCTGAGCTACACCCTACGGTTCCGTTCGTGGTTCCTTTCTCCTGCCTTAGACATAGAAGCCGTCTGTCGCCTAGGTCCTTTATTCGCTTGCTATTATGTGGTTGATGTCTTAAGCTTCCGTCCCATATGCCACTTTTGCATTCTTGTCCGTTGCAGCGTCTATTCTGCTCCGTTCTTCCTTTCCGGGATCTCAGTGCAATATCGTCTTTTCATTGTCTATGAAACACCTGTTCCCTGCGTCGTGCCACTTTTGCAATGCGACTCATACTCATTCCGGATAGCGGACAATTTACTCCGAGATTCGCAATCGCCACGAGTCAGTTCCTTCGGCTCTCCACGTCACCTTGCAGATAGATGCAGCTCTCTGTGCCGCTTATTCTTTCCTTTGACCGGTTTCACTATGGCATCTTCCCTAGGGACTTCCCGACATACCGAATCACATTCAATTTATTCCGGATTTTACTTCAAATACTTGTCTTCAATCTTTTCTTCATTAGTCTTCGTTAAGGCTATCTGTTCAAAGATGTATATCGCGAGATCAATTGCCTCCTTGCTATCTGGGTTAGCCTCCGTCTTTTCTTAGCAGTCCGTCCTCTCTTTATGTCATTCTTCATGTCCTCTATCCAGGGATCCATGTTCCCTTGGTGTTCCATTTCCGGTTCCACGCTCATCTGGTTGGCATTGTGAATAGCTTACAGGCTTGTCGCCACTTCTCGGCCATCACGTTCTCGAATTCGGCTTCTATTTTTCTCGGTCGACTTCACGCATGGCCACCATCTTCTCGTAGGCTATTCTTTCAGCCTCCCTTCTCTCCATCATTTCATTAAAGGGCTTCATGCCTGCCCCAATCTTTTCTCTGTCAGCGTCTCTCTTTGCCCAGTTGGCGATTGAACTCTCTTGCTTGGCTTTCATGTCATCGTCCCTTTAGCCCGCAATCTTCTATACAATGGTTCCACCTTTGCGTTGTGGGCTTCCTCCTCTATTGCGTTGGTACTAATGTCAGTATCCGTTACGCTCATCATTCCCCTGTTTGTGGCGTTGTTTGCTCCAACATGTTACTCCAGTAATGGTGTTTCGATTTGAAATTACCTCGAATCAGAAATCTTTGTCCTAGTGAGTTATTGAAGGTTTGTATAATAACTGAGGTGGTAGAATTTCCTACCCAGTCTTCGATGATTACACCCGTTGCCTGGTCCGTTTCTTATTTGGGGATTTCGTTACGTTTTATGACTTTTCTTATGATTGTGCCTGAACCTGCATGAGTTGTCGCACCCAGAAGAATGGTAGCACACATGGTATAGTTTTTTATTTTTACATAGTTTTCTCTTTCGTAAAATTGGTTTCGGACACCAGTAGAATGTCTATTCTCGTGTGGTTGAGAAATACATGTATTCATTTTTTACTGGGTTATCCCGTTTGCATTCCAGGCTGCTATGTTGTATACGTGAATTACTTCAATAGTTTTGTTGAGCACGCTGGTGAGGAGATTCATGAGCGTCTTCATTTGTTCCGCTTGTTTCGAAGCTTGTGTAGGACTCTTGCATTATTTGCCTTAGCGTCCGATCTTGTGGGTTTTTGAAGAGATTTTTGTTTCTCAATACTACAAGTATTTCTAGGCGCTTGATTTTATGTCATTTCTTATTTTCTTTCTGGTTTCTGTCGTGCTTTGTTCTGATTTCAGTATATTTGCAAAGTGAATATCAGCTGTTCTTGGAGGTGATGCAAATCTTGATGGTACGATTACTTCACTCCCCAGGAAAATTATTTAATTAATTCCTTTACTCATTTCTGTTAGAGGCTGAGTAAACCCCAGGGCTTAGTGCGGCCGGAAGGTTTAGGTCAATTGAAAAAAATCCAATGACTTCATCGGGACTTGATCCCGCGACCTTCCGGCTTGTAGAATAATACTTTAACCACTAGGCTACCGCGTTTATATCCCGAGGATGGCATTGGATATTTTCAGTTAACCTAATCCTTCCAGCCGCATTAGGACCTGGCGTTACTCAGCCTCTAACAGAAAGGTTTCAGCACAAATATACGGTATGAATATATTTCCTTCAGTTCCAAAATACACGTGCAGTCTTCTTCTTAAAGAAGCAACGCTTTTCACATGCAAATAATTGAAAGCAGACTCAGCTATATTACCAATTAATACCAATTAATAAAACCCAAATTAAAATCACAGGCTAAAATATTTTAATTCTCAAAGGAATCCCAGTTTTCAGTAAATGTACAGTAATAAGTGACTATGCCTTTTGTTTTAATGCCGTCTATATGCAACTTCAGTTACAATTCAACCGTCTTTTTTTCACGCTATAAGTTTTCGGTTACACTTGAGCAAGATGGGGGAACGTTTGCAGGTAAAAGTGTTAGGCAAATAGTCAAGCAGTAGAAGGGGGTGTGTCCCTTTAAGGATCCCGGCCAAGGAGATCACCCACCTTGGGATAAGACGTCATTGGAGGCGGACTTACAAACTCCGGGAAATTAATGAGTTAGCATGAATAAAGGTATATAACCCGGAGAGCAAATTATTATGGGGATTATTCTAACAGTAATTTTGGCCAATTGCGGCCGAAAGCCATGTCAAAATGGGCACCGACTAGACACCAGGTAACGCCATCCGTCTGCAGACTCAACAAGTAAGTGGAAACTACTCTTATCGCCATGCTTAATAATTGTGATGTTATTAAAGTGTAACTCCTCCAATGGGACTTGAGTTAGGAACGTTAGAGAAAGTGTAAGGGGCTTAAGAGTGATCCAACTGAGTGATGCAGAGGTAGACAGGTGTAATGTGTAACCCGACACCAGTCGGCTCTTTCATTGTGATAGTACCAAAATNACAAGGTACAGGGCGTAAGAGTGATGCAGAGGTAGACAGGTGTAATGTAGAGACAGCAGAGGGTGTGTCTAGCGGCAGGGATGTGTATATATATATATATATATATATAGTGGTTGAGTAGAACAGGAGAAAGAAGAGACTAGCGACCCGCAACTGGATGAAAAGAGAGAGAAAGATGAGGTCCAAGAATCGTCTAAGAAAGTGTAATGGTATTTCGACAACAGTCGGCACTTTAATTGTGATATTACCAAAATGTATATAACTGTATATTGCTTTTAAGGTCTTTCATTCTGATTGTTGATTGTATATTGCTTGTTTATACTAATATAGGGTAGCATAGGGTGAGGATGTGGGTTTCTGTTGTGATTTCCTCCCTTATCCCATTCCGCACCTGCGCCCTCCAGCCAAGCAAGGTGAACTGTGAGCCCCTGGCCAATGAAGCAACGATAGAGGAAGTAATTCAGTCGTTTCCTTAGCCCTACCCGTGTGACTGCAGTACAGAAGGTGACAGGGGGGATACCTCCACGCCCACTGTCACCACGGCGTAACTGGTGGCATAACATTTCACTCGGATTATTTCCAGTAATGTGGCTTAGCCATCTGCATTCACTTTGATTTCCTTGACCTGCACGGGTTTGATTAATCTGTAATATATGAAGTGATATATTACAGTATTATTTTGAGTTATACCGACACACGTAACTCATATTCAAAGCACTACGGGAAACAAACACCAGAGAACAGCACACAAAACACACTACGACTTATGGCAGCAAAACAATCGACGTTCCGGTCAAACTGTTAGACACACAAGGCAAAGGATGACTCTTCACTCGTCGTTAATTCCAGTCGATGGCAGGACCAGTTTAACTGATTGGGTTACCCAATGCGTAGCATGGCGTGAGACGCACGCAAAATTTCCACTGAAACTGACAGACAAATGCTAGTATCTGCTTAGAGAAATTCATGATTCGATTAGTAAACTTAGTGATCAAGATGGGATAAAATATAATCTTGGTTCTTCCTTGTGTAACAGTATTTGTATAAGTGTCGTGTGTATTAGTGGAAAATGGCCCCGAGCCCATTTCCACTGTGGGTTCTGATAGCATTTCTGTTTTTTTTCAGCGTGTTAAATTAAATGCAACAAATATTGAAGCAACACACGTCAATAAGGATGTTAATGACAAGAAAATTCTTCGTGAACAGGGAGCAGATGTGTTAAACAGAGAAGAAAATTTCGATTCTTGCGAGATTTGTAAGAAGTCATTGTCTCCTGGGAATAATTTGTTGGGACATGCAAATGGAAGTAACAGAGAAACAATGTCTCGTTTTGAAATGTGTGGCACATCGTTAACTCCTAAGCGTAGTGCATTAAAAGGATCAAAGTGTCGCAGTGAGTCTTTTTCTTGCGAAGATAGCAAGAAGAAGTTAACAAGTCGCTATAATTTGTACAACCATACTGCAGAACGGCCATTTTCTTTCGAAGTGGGTAAGGAAACGTTCGCCCAGCGATCTAACCTAAACAAACATTTAAGAATTCACAATGGAGAACGGCCTCTTTCGTGCAAAGTGTGTAAGAAATCGTTCGCCCAGCGCTCTAACCTAAACACACATCTCAGAGTTCACAGTGGAGAACGGCCTTTTTCGTGCAAAGTGTGTAAGAAATCGTTCGCCCATCGATCTAACCTAAACAAACATTTAAGAATTCACAATGGAGAACGGCCTCTTTCGTGCAAAGTGTGTAAGAAATCGTTCTCCCAGCGCTCTAACCTAAACACACATTTCAGAGTTCACAGTGGAGAACGACCATTTTCTTGCGAAGTGTGTGAGAAAACTTTCACACATAGCTCTATCCTGAAGAATCATCTGAGGGTGCACAGTGGAGAACGGCCTTTTTCGTGCAAAGTGTGCAAGAAAACTTTCGCACATGGATATACACTAAACAGGCATCTCAGGACACACAGAGGAGAGCGACCGTTCTCGTGCGATGTATGTAAGAAACGGTTCACTCAGCTTACTCACCTAAACAGGCATCACAGAATACACAGTGGAGAAAGACCATTTTCTTGCGAAGTGTGTGAGAAAACTTTCACTCAGCTCTCTAGCCTGAAGAATCATCTGATGGTGCACAATGGAGAACGTCCATTTTCTTGCGAAGTGTGTAAGAAAACTTTCGCACAGAAATCTACATTAAATAGGCATCTCAGAGTACACACTGGAGAGCGACCGTTCTCGTGCGATGTGTGTAAGAAACGGTTCATTCAGCTCCATAACCTAAACATACATCTCAGGATACACAATGGAGTAAGACCCTTTCCTTGCGAAGGTTATAAGAAAACTTTCGCTAATAGATATATCCTGAAGAAACATCTTAGAGTGCACAGTGGATAACGGCATATTTCGTGAAAATTGTGAAAGAAAAAGTTTACTAGCCGCCTCGTTCTGAATATGCATCTCAAATCACACAGTGCAGAACAAGCATGATCGTGAGATATGGAAGGGAATGTTCACTCCTGGCAAGAAAATAAATGCGTCACATGGAATATCATGAGAGAGAACGTTTTCGTGTAATGTATGCAAGGAATCATTAATTCAAAGTGACAGTGCGAGTATACAGATACGTTCTGAATTATTCTATTTAAATATTATATTTTACTTCAAGAATTTATCTGGTTACAGCACCTGAACCTTTTACTGTGTGATATATTTTGGAGCCAGACTTTCACCATTCACCTTCATAATTTCCTTGATTAAGATTCGTTTTAGTAACATACGTTCATTCTTTCGTATTATTATAAGTTGTATTAATCTCTTAGAAATTTTGTTTGACAGTATTACAGTAGTATTCATACATCAATCTTCTCTCTTCATTGTATGAAGATGTGTTCAGGATTTGATTTCACATTTTAATATTTTCTGTTGACTTCATTGGTTTTTTACAATTAACTTCTTTACGTGCATGAACGCAATATTGTTTATTGGAAGCCTGATTAGTATATTAGGTTCATGAAATAAAATTTGTTAATAATATAGTAGTTCGGAGCTAGTAGTCGTAGCGTGCGGACGCATATTGCTTGTCTCTGGCACGGTGCGGAGTTAAAGTGGAAACGTATGAAACAATGCCTCAATCGTTACAAAGTTCAAGCGTCATCAATCCAGTGATCTTCATTATTGTATGTGATAAAACAAGGCTGACAAACCAAACACTTTCAATCCTTCTAGTCATAGCATTGAGGAGTTAAACCACTTAAACTAACTCATAACGTAAGATCGACACATACTCAACAGACCGCCCCCTAAGCGGTACAAAGGTGTACTGATGACAACAATGTGCAAATTCGAAGTAATCAAGTTAGCACAGAACAACAATGAATCCACAACAACAAAACATGTACACGAACTCCTATCCTCCCCTTCCATTAGCGGCTTATCCACGCCAGTTCTCGCAAATGATACAAAATACACCACAAATCATACAACCACAACATACGTGATTCAGTGGTACGGTACCCCATCAACCACCATACGAACCGGCTCCACAACTCTCCTTGCAGCAAATGCAGTATCAATTTCTGCCTACTGTAGCAACCTACCCACCACAGCAGGGTCATAACCCCCAACAAATCGTTAGAATATCATCGACCAGTGAAGATGAATCAGACGACACGCAGGCAAACAATAACATTTCATGGCAACAAACGACAAGTAAAAAACGGAAGAAGATTACAAGGAAGGCAGCTATCCAAGAAGACAACAAAATAACCACCAACAACAGGTACAGCATATTGACGGTTGAAGAAAACAAATGCCAAAACGCAGATACTACTAAAAAGAAAATAAGCAAGCCTCCTCCAATATACATATATGGAGTAACAAACTACCCAGAAATGGTAAAACAATTGAGAAACTGCTTAGAAGACAAACAGTATACAACGACGAGTTTAGCATATAACACCATTAAGATCAACTGCAACATTGCTGAAAATTATCAAAAACTAACTAGATACTTAAAGGAACAAAATATTATTTATCACAGCTACCAACTGAAAGAAGATCGTGCCTACAGAGTGGTTATCAAACATCTTCATAACTCCATCCCAACTGCAGAAATAGCATCTGAATTAAACAATCTAGGACACAAAGTGAGGAACATCATAAATGTCAGACATAGAGCTACAAAGCAACCCTTAAACCTCTTTTTCGTCGACCTTGAACCAGCAAACAACAACAAAGAAGTCTACAATATTGAAAGACTGCAAAATGTCAAAATCAAAATAGAACCGCCTCATAAGACCAAAAATGGTATTGTGCAGTGTACGGGGTGTCAACTTTATGGTCACTCCAAGTCTTATTGGAACAGACCATTCGTGTGTGGTAAATGCGGAGGGCAGCACAGTACTGAAAGCTGTAAAAAATCCAAGGCAACACCAGCCACTTATGCATTGTGTGGAGGAGGCCCTCCCGCCAATTATAAAGGATGCGAGTACTATCAGAGGCTAATCCAGGGAAAACAAACAATAAAGGTTAGAGCCACCAACCCATCAATCTCAAACAATGTAAATACCAGACCCAGCATTTATATGGGCAGTTATCGAAACCAAAACAGAACATATAGTAATGCAGTTAATAACATAAACCCAAATAATGCCAATACCCTAGAACCATCAAACAACACAAATGCTAATACACCAGAACCAACAAACAGTCCTCTAACACAATTTCTTAATGAATTTAAAGCCATGTTCAGTCAATTAATGCAACAAAATATCATGGTCATTAACATGCTAACAACACTAATTAGCAAAGTAGTACAATAATGGCCAAGTTCCTAAGAATAGGGCTGTGGAACGCCAACGGCCTTGAACAACACAAAGAAGAAGTCAAAATGTTCCTAATAAACAATCACGTAGATGTATTCTTAATTAGTAAAACCCACTTCACAGAAAGAACCTACTTCAAAATACCAAACTATGTAACATATAACACCAATCATCCTGACGGCACAGCCCATGGCGGTACTGCGATTCTTATCAAAAGTACGATCCAACACAACGAGATACAGAAATACTAGAAAAATTTCCTACAGTCCACCGCAATAAAAGTAACTACAATATCATATGAGCTGACAATTGCAGCAGTCTATTGTCCACCACGACACAATATTAAAATGAATCAATTCCAAGAATATTTCCAAACATTAGGCAATAAGTTCATAGCCGGAGGAGATTATAATAGCAAACATACCAGGTGGGGTTCACGCCTGGCAACAACCAAAGGGAGAGAACTTCTAAAAACTTTAGGACACAGTAGACATTCATACTTATCAACAGGAACCCCAACGTATTGGCCAACTGACCCACAAAAAATTCCTGACCTACTGGACTTTTACGTTACAAATGGAATCAATTCAACATACACTGACATCGTACCCAATTACGACTTATCATCTGACCACTCTCCAATCAAAGCAACAATTGGAACATCAGTAATATACAAGAAACCTCCACCTAAACTACACCACTTTCGAACAAATTGGGATACTTTCCGCAGTATACTACACAACAGCATCGACCTAAAAATTCGACTGAAGACGACAGAAGAAATCGAGAACACTACTGAAACAATCCTAAACAAACTACAACAAGCAGCACAACAGTCAACGCCAGAACTTCACAAACGGAAAATAAACCAAGACATACCGCTTGAAATTAAGATATTAATAGCGGAAAAAACGGCAGCCAGATCAAGATGGCAACGAACTCACACACCATCTGATAAATGGGCTTACAACCACACAAGTCATAAATTAAAAAACAAGCTCAAAAAAGTCAGGAGCGAAGAATTTGAACAATACATAACGAAACTAAATGGAACAGACAATTCGATACGGAAACCAATCAAGAACTCAAAAAAATCTAAAATTCCAACACCGCCAATAAGAAAAAATACCAATGAACCATTGGCAGAAAGTGACGCTGAGAAAGCTGAACTTTAACAGAACACTTGGCTTCCGTATTCCAACCAACAGATACAGTAATCGACCAAGAAATAGAAAAAATGTCTACTAAACCCACCTATAACACATACAACCATCAAAGCATTCACACAAAAAGAAATAGCTGATGAAATTAAGCTCCTAAATCCAAAAACGTCGCCTGGATATGATCTGGTAACGGCCAAAATGATGAAAAAATTGCATAGAAAAGGGACAGTGATGCTAACCTACATATACAACGCTATTCTACGACTATGATACTGGCCAAAATGTCTCCAAAAGGCAAAATCATCATGATCGGTAAACCTGGAAAAGATCCGACAGATGTCTGCTCGTACAGACACATCAGTTTACTGCCAGTAACGTCAAAACTACTTGAAAGACTGTTACTTCGCAGAATAAACGCAGATTTGCCTAAAAAAAAACTGGATACCTGACCACCAGTTTGGGTTTCGCCAGAAACACTCCACCGTGCAACAAGTTCACAGAATTATACAAGTCATGAACAGAACGTTCGAACACAATCAATAGTGCAGTGGAGAATTCTTCGATATCAGTCAGGCTTTTGACAAGGTCTGGACCCTGGACTTATTTACAAAACAAACATGTGTTTCCACCGGCTTACTTCAATCTTCTAAAATCATACCTGAGTAGGAGAACCTTTCAAAACAAAGTAAATGAAGAGAAAACTGACTACTTTCCTATCGGTGCAGGAGTGCCACAAGGCAGCGTCCTTGGACCACTGCTGTATGTCCTGTACACGTCAGATCTACGATGGCACAAAATGTCCTAATAGGAACATTCGCAGACGATACAGCCATTCTTACTAGTCACGCAGATCCTCAAATAGCCTCAACTTCTACACAAAACTACTTAAATACTCTCCAGCAGTGGCTAACAAAATGGAAAGTGAAGTGAACGAGAATAAATCCGNATGTTGCAATCATACAAAGATCTCAATCCAAGATACTCCGTCAAATTGTCAATGCTCCCTGGTACGTAACAAATCATACACTACATACAGATCTACAGGTACCAACAGTACAGGAAGCAATACGCAAGAAAGCCATCACACATCATAACTCCACAGAAAACCACCCCATTCAGCTCATGGAACAACTGCTGGAACCAGTAAGCAACAAAAGACTCAAAAAACTGTGGCCAAGTGAACTACTCTTAAGTTAATGTATAGATACTAATTATAGATTGTACAGGTGATTTCGCTGGATATCAACCTGTTCAAGCCACTAGTCATTAGTATATTTAATGAGTAATCAGCACTTTAGCGTATAGAATTATGTAATATTCTGATTGCTAAAATTAAAATAAATATAAAAAAATAATATAGTCACCTTCAGACTCAGTTTTCTTATGTGATTTCTCTGGTCCGTGTCGAAATGTTGTTAGATGTTTTGTTGCAAAGGTTCGCAACCCCTTGTAGTTTTAGGAACTTTGAGTCTGATGTCTGGGGTCATGCCCTCTACTAAAATTTATAGCACGTCAAGAGGTTGACCTGCGTCCACACAAAAAATATTATACCTACCCCTGCCATTTTCATAAATTAGTGGAGTCCTGGAGTGTTTCGTCTGGGACCTATCCTTCAACAACCGCTGGTGTGACTTGATCTGCGTGAGGGTTCATGTCTCGAGACATTGGGCTGCAAGCTTAGTTTAGATTAGTTTTTAAGAACAAGAGAGAGGTTGAAGGGAGCACTTTGTCTGGGTTGGGGCTAGGAGAAGGCTGGACAGGCTTATGTCCCCCAGCGCTTGTATGTAATATACACAGTCTCAATAAATCTTCTATCATCTGTAGTGAGTATTTGCTCTTTGTGGTTGGAATACACGCTCAGGCAGCCAACTGACAATCATCATCACTGAATTAATACGCTACCGCTCGGCCAATGTATTTCAGTCGACCAGCCAACATCATGGGTCACGACAGAGGAATATGAATTATTTAACTGATCTAACTGGTTTCATTATTTAAGTGTAACGAATTTTAACATCTTCTTTGTGTCCTATCATACTCTATTTTTGCATCCT